CAGACTCTTGCAAGGAACCTGGGAGGGAGGAGGAAGTGAGGCAGGGTTAGCTCCATTTCACAGATGAAGACATCCAGGCATAATCGAAGTGTTCAGTGAGCAAACGCAGAACTGGAACTTGAGCCCTGAAATAGAGAGTCTTAGCTCCAGTTACCGTGTCTGGAATGATCCCCCTTGTTGGGTTTTCCTTGAGCTATCTTTTCAGATCACACACTTATGATGTTGGGACTACTATACATAAACACACATGCATTTCTCCCAAACTCTTATGGGAACATTTTCAATTATTCTGGGGATGGGAAAGGAACTAAATTCAGATGTATTCCAACCTACTGCCCCATTAACAGGTTATTTGGTTCCATTTCACCCAGGACCATGAGTGCTGTTTTCTGGTGACTTCTGTCCTACTCCTCTCTATCTGCATGACCTAAGGACCTACAAAAACCAGCTGGTCCCCAAGACACTCCATCTGTCCTCACCTTCTCCCATCCCTTTAGCGCTATGTTCTTGCTTCCCAACCCTTGGGACCTGGGATTTGATGGTGTCATGCCATCCTTCTCTATTTGGGGCCAAAAGCTACCCTCGAGGTCCATGGCAGTGTGTCAGGGGTGTTTGGTAACCTGGGATAAACAAGATGCATCTTCCTAGAGTATCACGCTTATTGAAAGATTTTTGTGAGGGGTGGTGGAGGTTAGGTAACTTACCTGTTCTAGAAGATTGTTGTCATGTTAAGTATAGCTAGATGCAGGTTGGAAGGAAACACAAAGCACGCGCCAAAGGGGTGGCTTGGGCTTCCATGCCCAATTTCCCCTGAGCAGGGCTGGGCAGAGAGCTGCTGGGGGAGAGTGACAATGGGAACCAATCTAGGAAAGGAAGGGAAGGAAACAGCAGGTGCAGGTCTGGGTGAGGACACAGGGTAAGGCTGTACAGCCTGGTGGTCGAGGGCCCAGGTTCTGGAGGCCGACATCTGGGTCTAGCCCTAGTTTCACTCCTTTGTACCTGGACGACCAGGTCAACTGAGCCTCTGTAGCTCAGTCTTATCCCCAGAATAAGCTATCTGAAGGATTTTGCTTCCAAGATTAAATGGAATAATGTACTCACAGAGCTTATTACAGCACCTGGCAGGTGAGGTAAGCTGAATTCATAGTACCCAGCACCACGATCAGGGTGAGAACGCTCCTCAGGGAAGCCCTGACAACATTGGTTGGGCTTTTCATTTTTCTAGAAACAAGCTGGGAAAGGGAGTGAGCATGACACTACCATGCATGCCCGGAAAACTGAGGGCTGGTGAGTTGCAGTGAACGGGCCAGCTAAAGGTTGAGAGTCTGTGGCTCTGAGAGCCAGAGGAGGGCAGATGAGCCCCAGCACCAGCACAAGAACATTTGTAAAGTGCCATCAAAAGTGTCTGGCCTTAGCTGCTGCTTCCCCTGCTGCTGAAATGTTAGCGCTTGCAAAATAGGGGCTCTTATCTGCAGTTATGTTTACTTTTTGTTAATATTCAATGGGAAAAAGTAGATCATGGCAAATATTCCATCAGCAGACAAAGCTTTTCAACAATGGGGAAACTCAGTATGAAATGCTGGGGACTGGCCACTTGGCTAACCTGATGTGGCAATTCTGATGGATTGTGCTGCCACATTTCATGAAAATTTGCATTCACTGGGATTAAGAACAGAAAGAAATAAACTCGGTCTTGAAAGTATGCATTGAAGAAAGAGGCCAATTTGGAGTAGGCGGGAGCATTCCTGCTGAGCGAATGTAATACAAAATCAGGCCAGGCCAGGTGAGAAGGTGTGAGAAGGTAAGAGGAACGGGGAGGTGGAACCAGCATTGGCTCCTTATCTCCCCTTCCCCAGCTCTGAGGGTCACTTTCTTGGCTGGAGCAACAGACCAGAGGCAATCCACTCCTCTTCCCATTCCAGTCTGATCCACTGGCCAGGTAAGTCCTTCCAGGTGCCCCAGTGGGAAAAAAGCATCCAGCTGTTAATTCACAGTCTCCCACGTGAAATCAAAGCTTTGCCCTGGTCCTTTGGAAGAAAGAAATGGAATGGATGCTGCCCTCGGAGGTGCCAGACCAAGCCCACATGAAAACGTTGTGATTGCTTTAACAGAAAACCATTTATTTTCGGTTCATTTCAGTATTTATAGCAGCGTACATGTAACGCTTTTCAGTCCACATGAATAGTTTCCAATGCTTGGAGCAAATTAATCTTTTACAAGCTACTCAGCAGTGAGGTTAGAAGATAAACAGTAGGTGAGATAGTACACGCTCCCCTGTATGTGAACCTTCCTATTACAGTAAACTCCATTCGAGCTCACCACGTCCAATGACTGCCACTCTCTCTGTTCATGTGGCAGCCCCAGCTGTCCCCTGCCACCTCTGCCCTGCTGAGGCACTTCTCTGATCAGCCACCTGGGTGGGACTTACTGCCATTTTCAGTTTGGAAGGAAAAGCCCGTAAATCTGCTTCCTGGGAAGACAGACATTGCTGAATTGTCATTTGCCTCCAGAATGCAGAAAACATCAATTTCATTGCAGCTCATCAGAGTTGGAAACACCTGCCACTTCCTTTCTCAGTCGCAATTAACATGCTGCATCTCAGCATTGATTGATTCCAAGCAGCCTGACACTGCCCAAGTCAAGGTTTAAAGGAAACGGTACAAGCTGGTATTACTTTTCACAGTTGTAGAAACGAACTTATTTTAATTGCCACAGGAGTGCTGCGGTTGCTGGGGTTTAAAGTCCTTATGCTTGAGACAAATGTGAGTAGACTAGGCTGATGCTTGTAATAAAAATAGTTATCTTTGTATTTATTTGGGAGTGGTACTTGTTTATTTATTTGTTTGTTTATTATTCTTTGCATTTATTTGTGGGTGGAGTGGAGGACGACGAATATTCTTCCCTCATGCCAGTATCTGCTCGGGGCTGCACGACCCCACAGGCAATCAGAGAATGTTTGTTAAACACATAGATCAACCAACGAATGGTTTGGAAGAGGAAGCTTGAGAACTGTCCTCTCCGTCCCTCTTATGTTAAATCCTTACCTTGCGACCATTGTGAGCCCTTCAGTTTAACTTAGAAGCTGTGCGAGACTGTCTCTAACACATGACCCGAGGCTGGGACTTTATGTCTCATCCAGAGCCCTATGTTGTCCAGCTTTGATCACGAGTGCTCTTTTATGGGACAGGAGAAGTTGTTTTCATCATAATCCTTCCTACTCGTATTGCGTTAAAAAAAAAAAATCTTTAAAATGTACAGTATTTTACATTTTGAGGGTCTTACAACATTCTTTATTTGTGAATAAGGAATGGAACTATGGAAAATAATTCAACAGCCACATTATTTATGTCCTTTTGGAAGTGTTCGTTGAAACTGTCATGTACCGCCAAGCTGAAAACCGTCGTAAGTAGAAGGCTGTTACATATGAGGTTTATGTTCCAACTTGGCCAGATAAGACTCAGCTTTAAACTACAGAACAGTCTGCGGAAGAAAAAGTGAACAAATTGCTTCCCTTGTCTATTAACAGAAGACCGCCAAGAAACACCTTCTTTCTTGGCCCTCTTGAGAGAACCTTTCTTTTAGATGTAAACAGAACAAATTAAAATAAGTGGCAATTAATTCTTTTTATAACAACAACCCAGACACTATACATGTGAGCAGCCTCTGTGAAATGATAGCACGCTTTCATGTAACTGACAGAAAAGACTGGGTTTGGATATTTCCTAACATTCAAGAATAAAAACTGAAGTTCTATATCTCTCTTCTTTAAATGAATTAAAATTCCTGAGTATCCATAGTCTTACCTTTAAATACCTAATGACTGAAAAAGTTATTTTAACTACCTCTATAAATCTTTAATACTCTGCAACTCACTGTCCCCAACAACTGGGTTATTTGTCTGTTAAATAGCTTATATACCAATATCTTAGTGCCCGTAGCATAACACAGGAAAACCAGAAATAGGAAATCCTATTAGCAATTTCCACTAAATATATAAATAAATAAGAATAAATAGCCATAAATGGCACAGTTTTGATAGCTCAATGCCTGCACATATTCCCTCATAGAAGAATTCATACACTAGAAGATCTGATTCTTTTTTTAAAGAAAGGAAAAAGGAAGAGGAAGGAAGGAAAGAAGATAGGAAAAGAGAATTGCAACCTTTGGAATTTGGTATGCCATGGAAAGTTTCCATTTAACACCTCCCCAAGTGTGGGCGGGCTTGGGAAACCCAGTTACATTTCTAATTTCCGGCTTGTCGGCTGGCCAGATTGGCACGCGTGGACAGCATCTCAGACAGAAGCGGTTCATGGTCAACTTACATTGAGGAGAGTTAGGTCTCTGGTCAGAGTCAACTGTCGCAAAGCACCTTCTGTTCAGCGACCCATTTACACACTTGCAGAAATGAGAGAGGCCAAACACGTAACAAAGAGTTCCTCAGTCCGTCTCTTGTCAGTGACAGACTGAATCTTCAAAGAATCCCACTGAGGGAAAACAATCAATTTCTGACAACAGATCACCATGTAAAACATGGTTCGCATGGGACCCATCAGAAGGGCCCAGGAATCCTTTGTCAGTGCACAAAACTCCATCTCTTGGCTTTCTTTTCACATTGAAAATGTCATTTAAAAAATCCACAACCCAGTCTGAGATTTGGTCCCTGTATTTGGTAAATGGGGTCACGGCACTCAGCTACCTGGGGGAAGTTGGAAGTGATTTCGTCCTTGTCCGGTGGAGTTCCGAGGAGATCCCTGGAGAAAGTGTTGGAGATGCTTGTCTTTGGACCCGAGAAGACTGCCTTCGGGAAGCATCCTCATCTTGGATCTCTAGTGGGTGTGCTTTCAGTAGCAGCACCCGCCTCAATGACACTTTATCAACAAATGAGTTTCCCTTTTGCCATCACCAATAGCCATATAAGAAAAGCACTGGAAAACTATTCATCTTCTAGAAATGCTTTTCATATGTTCCAGGGGCAGAGTTTTCTTTCCTTTTCTCTTTCCTTTTTTTTTTTTTCTGTTTTGTTTTTTAAACAAAATTAAGGCTCAAATGTTGTCTTCAACTCTCATTGCTTATGTATATTATATTAAGGCTTACAAATACAACTGGTAAATTAAATCCAGGATTGAATTAACACCTGCTATATGAGTTATTTGCTTTATGTAACCAGTAATCTCAAGGTTTCTCCTTTTTTCTCTGGAAACACAATTTAAATATTAACCTAATCTTTAAACTGTGGCTGCTTCTTTCTGACATTTGGAAACCGGTCATCCATGCAAAAAAAAAAAAAAAAAAAAAAGGCAAATATGGATATATTAATGAAAAGGGAAGCTTCTTAAAAACCTAGAGATGTGTAACTCAATGAATTGGGAAGATAAATGGTAAAGGCAGCAGGAAAGTCGATCTCCGTGTCCCTTTCTCGGGGAAACAATGCTGGTCATCTGCCAAGGTCACCTCCAATGTGAGACCTGCCAGAGGGACTGCTGATCTCATAACAGTCTTTGTATTTTCTTCATTAGAATCTCTGGAAGGGTCTCGGGCAGCTGTACTCCAGATGGGAGAATTTTCATGTTTAAGAAAAGATGGCAATAGGGCATCGCTTAAGTTCCAGGTACCCCAGATCCTGCCAAAGGAATTGTGAGTGCGTGGGGTGTTCCTGGCCCCATCCGCCCTCAGCCAGCATCCAGAGAGCGCCCCTTGGGCCTGCTCACGTCCTGCTCAGCTGACAGCCCCTGGAGAATATGAAGCTTTCAAAGTGCTGGTCTTCAGCCTTTTCTTTTATGCGCTGCTCCTCTAAGGAGTCCACGAGTCTGTCCCTTTGTTCAATCACTTGCATCATCTCGCTGAATATTTCTCTCTCCTCATTCAGATCATTCTCATCTTTCTGGCTCTCTAAAAAACAAAAAAGGAAAAGCGTGAGACCTCAGGTAACATTTGGACGTTTCTTGATTGTTTTGGACTTGTTTCTGCCTTTTAATTTCCACGGAGAAAACAAGGAAATGAATTTAACACCAGGGGACTGTTCCTGAAGCCACAGATTCGCAAGGAGGGTGCTCTGTGCGGCAGTCGGCTCAGTTTTCATCGTGGGGCTACAGATAAAGCAACAGGGGGAAATCCCTTTGTGAGGGAAAGAGTATCCACCAAGCCCGACCTAGTCCTCCAGCCTCCCCTCCCCCGCAAAAAAGAAGCCAGCCAAACAACAAAAAGGCTGTTTTCCCTAAACATGTCTGAACTGCAGCAAAGAAATCTACGTGCAAAGTTCTGAGTAAGCCATCTGCATCAGTGGCTACAATTTAATGCGGAGAATCCTTTTCTTCATGTGTAGTTCATGACAAATTGCAGCCTTTGAGTGGATACCAAGCAGGAGCAAAGCAGGACTCCAGTTGGCCAATGGGACTGTGTCTCCAGCCTGTGACTATGTTTTCCCTATTGCCTTCAGAGTACAAGAGCTTCTTCCTAGTTGGCCTGATGCCTCCAATTGCCTGGGGGACATGAGATGGCTGCAAAAGGAAAGGCAAGACTAAGAAACAGGTAGTAATGGCTTTCCGACAGTCAAAAGAGATGTTAAGGCAGATGGAAGTCTTGTCATCCAGACTACTGCCTTGGGAGAGGACATTATATTAAATACCTTCGCCCCTTCCCTTCAGCAAACTGGGGACTAGGCAGTGAGACTGATCCTGGAGCAGCCAAGGGCCTCTGTTTCTCGAAACAGGATTAGTTCTGAGGATAGGGTCAGGAAGAAGGTATACATGACAAAAGGGAGATGGGGAAGCATCATTCCCTTTCCACCTCATGTTTTATGGGAGCAAGAAGAGAAGCAGAGGATGAGAGCCCTGTGCTCCAGCCTCTCTATTCTGGGCCAAGAAATGTCATACCATTTGATGGGAACACTGGGGGCCAACGGATTCTTACCCTGCCCCTTGGATGGAATTCTGGGAAGAAGTCGGCTGGAAGGGCGCCTCATGTGTGAACATGGGGCAGTACATTGTGGTTGGGCAGAGAAGGGTCTGAGTCTGGTTTTCCAGCTCTCCATCTGCTGTGTATGGCCCAGGTGGGACCCAGAAGTACCCACCAGCCCTGGAGCCATCAAAGGTAGCTGTTCAATAGGCCCCCAAGAGGGCTTCCCCATGTTGAGGAGTGACATGGTCCCACAGCAGAGACATGTGGCTAAGCTGAATGGAGGAGGTGCCAGGGAATGCCATCAGGCTTTAGGCACACCGAGGAGGGCCCAGGCTAGGGTGGATGCCAGCCACAATGTTAAGATCCTTAGCTGCAAATGCCAGCAGAGAGAATGGCAGCCCGATGACCGGACAGCTGTGTGGGGGCTCAGCCAGTCAAAGCAACCAGTACAGACAGCTAATACCTCAAATTCACACAAACCTGCCTCAGGCTTCCCTGGCCTCAGGGAGAAGAACAGAAGGAAAAGGTTGCCATCTCCAAGACATTTTCATCCCAAAGAGACTGAGCTCTTCCTACACGGACTGTCTAAATGATTCCATCGGACTGAGTTTACTAGAGAGGGATACATTTCTTTTCTTTTCCTTTGTTTTCTTTTCTTTTCTCTTATTTTCTTTCCTTTCTTGCTAACTAGGGGGATAAAGCTTTTATGGAAGATGATCTCAGGTATAGTCAAAATGAAGAAGATTTTGGTGGGGTAGGTATACCAGAGAGGAGTGAAGAGATGTATGATCCTCGATCCTCACGAAAAATTAAAAAAAAAAAAAAAAAGGGGGACGCCTGGCTGGCTCAGTTGGTTAAGCGGCTACCTTGGGCTCAGGTCATCCTGAGATCGAGTCCCACATCCGGCTCCTTGCTCGGCAGGGAGCCTGCTTCTCCCTCTGCCTCTGCCTGCCACTCTGGCTGCCTGTGCTCGCTCTCTTGCTCTCTCTCTCTGACAAATAAATAAAAAAAATCTTTAAAAAACAAAATTTTTTTTAAAAAGAAAATTCGAAGGTGGCTCATGGAGTCTGTTGGTGGTATTTATTTTGCCACCCTGAAATGGAGCAAACTGAAATTTTTATTAAATGTATAAATCAGATATTATGTTGTATATTTTGTTCATCTAGGTATATCCCAGTGTTGGTCCTTATTTGGTAATTAACGCAGAAAAAACCTCTCTCTCAAAGTCGGCTTCTCATCAGGGGACTCATCTGAGTCCATCTGACAAATACAAACGACGTATACCAATTTTATTTATTCTGTATAGTGAGTGCAGCCCTGTAAGGATTTTGCTAGAAAAAGAATTTTTGGCTACGAAGAAAGTCCACAGATCATTACTACGTGGGAAAGAGCAGGCGCCCCTGAGTCTGTGGTGGTTTGTTCCAGAACCTTAGCCCCCTTACCACTTACCTCACGCATGCCAAATGTGCTGAGATTTCGTTTCTAAACTGTAAAATGGGGATAAAATGCCTAAGTAAAACTAACCATGATGATGACTAATATTTACTAATATCCAATATTTACTAGGTGCTTGCCCTGTACCAGGCAACCCCATAGGGAGGTGCCATGTTTGGGCCATGAGGTATAAAGAAATCATTGAACTTGTCCTTTCAGACCTAGGTCTAAGGCACAAACAGTGAATACGCCTGGCGTATTCATTCATTGGCTAGAGCCAATGAACACATAATCAAGACAGCATGTCAACTGAATTTATTTCCACTCTCCTCCTTCGTGGTGGAGATCATTTTCTCACATGTGCCCTGGCCTGGCCCATGGGGGGAAGGCTGTTTCTGATACCACGTCTAGTGCCCCGCAGAACGAGGCCCGCCTTTGTCAGGCACCCTATGTCCTGGCCCTCGTCTCGGTGCATGACAATCCCGTCTGCACGTTGGCTTCTCCAGATCCCAGGGCAGGGGAGCTCTTCTTCATGCACCAGGCCCACACTAGACTCTCAGCAAATATTTCTAAACTGAATAGAGGGGGGAGTGAATGAACGATTTTGTTCTCTTAGCTGGTGCGACGGAGTCCAATGCTGCCCTCATAGGCCAGGTGAACGAAGCCAGCCAGAGAGTCTCGCCGGGCAGCCGGTGGGCTTCCCCCTCCCCAGCCTCTCCCTCCGCCTCCAGGCTGCTCACACAAGGTGGGAGGAGTGCCCTGCGTTGGGATTTGGGGTGTGCTCTGTGCAAGTGCCTTTCCAGGGAAAAATATCCTTCACAGGGGCCCAAACACATATCCCTGTACTCACCCTCCTTGAGCATTTTCTGTCTTAATTTCTGTTCCAGTCTGCTTTGATGATCTTCCAATTCTAATTCTTGGGCCCTGGGGGTAAGAAAATGTTCACACCTTGTAAATACTGAAGATATACCTAAAACAGTGAGTAAGCTCACTGACTATAGTTACTATATTCTTTTTTTTTTTTTCCTTTTAATTAAAACTGGGGTCTTGGAATATCTCTAAATGGGAAGGTCAGGGGCTGAAGGAGCTGAGAAGGGCTGCTGGGTTCCGCTGAAGGCCAGAGATGAAGGAGCAGCTGAAGGTTGGGATGTGATCCCAGGGGGCATCTGGAAGACCACTCAGGCCACCCTCTGGGGACGGATCATTAAGAAAAGGCTAGAATAATCCAGGGGAGAAGCAATGACAATCTGAAACTCTCTTCTCTTTTAGGGGCAACATGACTTCGAGTATTGCCTCTAATAGCTCCCAGCTCTCCGATTGTAGTAAATGACAAAACCAGGAGGAGGAGACAGTTCAGGGAGAGCCATAACCTCCGCACAGCTCTCCGTCCGGTGGTAGGAGACGTGCAAAGAAGAGTCTGTGATGCTTTCGGAGTCATCAGGCTGGGGTCTCCATGCTTCCGCCAATAGAAACAGCAGAGTCAAGGAGTGAAGTTCGTTCTCGGTGAAGGTCAGTTAGGCACTCCTTGACCTTCAGTGCCTGGGGCTATCTGATGTGTGGGCAAGGGGCCCACATGCCAGGCCATGTGTAATGTGGAGGTTCCCCCCTTCGGAAACTCAACTCTGGAGCGCGTAGGAGAAGTCAGGACCACACACAGATGCTGCAGGGGTCAGAGATGGTGGTTGAAACCCTGTGATCCCTAAAAGGAAGACTACAGAGAAAGGAAAGTTTGAAGACAGGAGCTTGGAAATGCCTACACTGAGAAGGCAAAAAAAAAAAAAGAGAGAGAGAGAGATGTAGCCAGGAAGGAAGCCATTCGAGCTCTGAAAAGAGATAAAAACAAGAGAGGCAGCATCCCAGAAACCCAGAGGAGAGAGTTTTGAGAGAGAAGAGAGAGGCTGAGGTGAGAGAGGCTCACTGCTACAGAGACACCCAAGTGGGGAAGGGCTGGGAATAGGGCCTCTGTTTGACAGCGCCCGGCCTTCCCTTCCAGCCCCTCTCGCCATGTGCATGGAGCTGCCACAGCTTCGGGGTCATTTTGCTGTGCCCTGCTGTTGCTGCCCTATTTCTGTGACTTCTCCTGCTACTTGGGCCAAGATCCCTGCCATGTTTAAAATATTCTGCCTTTTGGGGGCGCCTGGGTGGCTCAGTGGGTTAAGCCTTTGCCTTCGGCTCAGGTCATGATCCCAGGGTCCTGAGATCGAACCCCACATCCGGCTCTCTGCTCAGTGGAAACCCTGCTTCCCTTCCTCTCTTTCTGCCTGCCTCTCTGCCTACTTGTGATCTCTGTCTGTAAAATAAATGAATAAAATCTTAAAAAAAAAAATATTCTGCCTTTTGTTACTGACCCTGAACTTCTCTTAGGTCCTCTCTGGTCGCCCGTGGAAATACCACTCAAGGCTTCCTCCAGGAAAGAACTTTCTGGGCCGAGTGCCGAGAGCTGACTCCTGAGGTACAGTCTACTCAGTGTGGTGCTGAGGCCACGCTGTGCCCGGACAGCATCCTGCCAATGACAGAGCACAGCGGGCAGTGCTAGAGCTGGACCCCTCTGGTGGCATCTTTGCTCCTGTACTCTCTTTGGCAGGGCAGAGACGTTCTCCGCGCTGCACTGCAGTTCGGAGTTTCCTCCGCCCAATTCTCTTTCCTCCCCACTCCCTTCGCAGGTGTCAGGACCACAGAGGCTGTGCGACTTCCCTCTTATTCCCCCTTCCATTCTCCTTTATCCCACTATGTCTCTTTCGCTTCTTTTTTTTTTTTTTTTTTAAGATTTTTTAGAGAGAGAGCAGCAGGGAGGGGCAGAGGGAGAGAGAGAATCCCAAGCAGACTCCCCACTGAGGGCAGGGCCCGACAGAGATTTCGATCTCAGGACCCTGAGATCATGACCTGAGCCGAAATCAAGATCCGGCCTCTTAGCCGACTGAGCCACCCAGGCGCCCCGACTCTTGCGCTTCTAGTCCTGTCTTGGCATCTGCTTTCCCAAAGCACTCAAGTCGCTTGTCTAGGAGGTTTGTCCCTGTTCCACCAGCTCTTTCTCTAAACTAAAACCCATCCTTTAACAGAGCTCCTGCCCGCTTTCATCTAGTTCCCATGCCTGAGTTCTTCCCTCCGGCCTCTCTTGGCCGCGTGCTAACTAGGGAAGCCAGGCACTGAGCACTGGGAGCAGGAGCCACTGCCTTCCTGATCGTCACAGGGAGGACCTACGCACAGACAAGGCTGCTCCTGCCACAAACTTCCATGGAGCTCTCACCATGTTTTCTTATCACTGGTGTGCTATGTGTTTGCATGTCTGTCTCCCCTGAAACCACGAGATCCTAGAAGATAGGGACTGTGGCCCACTCATTCTTCTTTCCACTGTACCCAGCACAGTTCCTGACACAGAGGATATGTTGGATATGCTTTTGTTGAATGAACGTTGTGATTCAGATCTGGTCCAGAGGCAGATGGTAGGGTTGTGTAAAAAGGGCTTTGCAGTCAGGTGGACAAGGACAGGTGTTGCTCGGAGTCTCAGCACGTGTATCAGCTTAAAAAACAGTGATCGAAAAAATAATTGCTAAGGAAGATGCCTTCTTCCTCATTCCTGGACGTTCTTTCCACGTCCATGGAGCTCAATGAGTGTAACTCCTGGCCTCCTTCCCCAGAAGACTGAAGACCACTCTTACTCACTCTCACCCCCAGGAGAGGCAGATTTGGGAAGAAACTAGGTGAATTCAACTCACACCCTTTTTTTCTTGGGATCAGCCAGCCTGGAGCAGACCTGCCTTCTTGATTACTCTGAGCCTTGCCATAGATCTAGGGCAAGACTTCTCAATCTTGACACTATTGGCATTTTAGGCTGAATAACTCTCTGTTGGTGGCGGGGAGAGGGGCATCCTGTGAATCGTACAATGTTAAGTAGCGCTCTTGGCCTCTCTTCACTAGATGCTAGCATCACCTCCTAGGTATGACACCCAAATATGTCTCCAGATATTGGTGAATATCCCCTGGGGGGCAAAACTGTCCCCAGGTGAGATCCGCTGGGCTAGAGTCAAAGACTTGCCCCTAAGAAGCAAGTGGGTCCATTAACTTTTGTGATGCCATAGGGGAATATAGGTAACAATCGGATCAGGTTAGTGCAGTGGGCTGAATGGTTACCCCAGAGATATGTCCGCATCCTGGCTTGAGTGACCTTCAACTCTGTCCCAGTGTGATGAGATCCAGCTCCACCTTCTGATCTCCCGGCAGCCTGCAACCTCGAGTTCAGAGTCCCTCAGTATGGTAAATACTCAAGGACGTGGCCAGGCAGATCTTCCCAAGCCCTTCCAGGGTTCATACCCAGAGGCCAAGAACATGCCTCCCCATCACAGGTGCATGGCTGCAGGTGCCCCCCGCCCCCACCGGCCCAGGGTGGGGGACAAGGATAGACTGAAAATACCTTATCCAAATGCTCTCCAGCTCCAGACCCGTCACCTGACATCTATTTCAGCCACAGGACTCCAGAGAGAGAACAGACAACGGAAGATTCTCTGTGCTAATGCCAACATGATATGCAAGACGCCAAATATCAATTTGCCTCAATCACAATTCTGTATGCACGAGGAGAAGAATTCTTGGGACTTCAACCTGGGCGGGCGAGCCGCCCCTCTCCCACCCCCTTTGCTTTTAGGACTCACTGTTATCTGTGTTGCCTTACTTACATGATCAGTAGCTCCGACTCATATCGCATTAATTTATTCTTCTCCAGAGCCAGCTTAAACCATTCCTGCAAAAGCTGTGCTTCATCTTGTGTGCCTGAATCTGCTTAAGAAATCAACAGCAAATGTGTTAGATTGGCGTTTCTCTCCCCGTGATCAACCTGGTTAGGAGCTGCGTTAGTGGCCATGTTTGTAGCGGAAAAAGGCTCAGCAGGTGGCAGCCCCCCGATGGCCTGTTGACGCCTTGGTTGCAGGTTGAGGGCCGACAAATCACACCCCCCTGGGCATGCTCTGGGGGAGAGGTCCTCTTGGACACTGAGGGCAGGAATCTTTTGGCTCCAACAGCCATGTAATCTTGATAACGCCCTGCCATAAATGAAACTTCTCCTGCCTCTGAGTACGTCCTCTGTAAAACTTCTGTATGTTTGTACATCACATTCTCCACCAAAGAAAACCCTAGAAACTCTCCTGGTTACTATCTCCTCCTCCCTTTCTTCTCCCAAATCAAACGATTAGTGAGTGCCCAGGTGGTGTGTGGCTCCCTTCGTGGGTCTGAAACACCCACGCCACATTTAATCATAGAGGGGTGGTGATGGCTATTTTTTTATTTTTGCACGAAGAAAAGCCAATAATGGGGAAAAAAAAAGTGTTACCAGCTCTGAGTCTCACTGGGAGAGCTAAATTCATATCTTCTTATAACTTAGATTATGACCTTTATTGAACGTAAGAATAACCATGAGAAAACTGACACTGCTTTTAGATATGCAATGCTAGATGCTAAAGGTTTAGATGATATAATGATAAAACCTGGGTGTATTTCTAAAGTAGCAACATGGAGGTGGCTTTTTAGTATCTCACCCTGAAATGAGGGCACGGGCTGTTTTGCAAAGCCCATGGCCACTCTAGGAGGATTTGTACTGGAGTGTCCCATAGGCAGAGGGGATGACAGTGCAGACGGAAGTTATACGTGACCTTGAGCCTTTACTTCTTCACTGGTTAAACTGAACAACAAGACATGCAAGTAATGCAACAGTAACAAGCTACTGTTTATTAAGCAGTGATCACGTGCAAGTCAGCGGGTTCCATGCATTACATGGGACATCACATTTAATCCTCATGACAAACTCACCAGTAGGGTTGCTTATTGTCACCACTTGAGAGCTGAAGAAAGCAGAGGTTTAGAAGATTAATTTTCCTGAGGTCACAGTTAGTAAGTGGCCGAACCAGGGCTTGAACTCAAGTGACCTTTATCCTAAGCCCAGGCTTTTTCCTGCTTGTATAGCACTCCCCCTCCTCCTCACTCCTTCCCTCCTTCTTATAGGCATGTAAGGTAAGTCACTTCCTTAGCACATTGCCTTGTTCCTAGTAAGTCATCCATAAAAATGAGTTCCCTTGTCTCCCTGTCTTTTCTTTAAAAAGATTTCATTTATTTGAGAGAGAGAGAGAGAGAAAGAAAGTGGAGGGAGAGGGAAGAGCAGGTTCCATTGAGCAGGAAGCCTGAAGTGGGGCTCCATCCTAGGACCCTGGGGTCATGACCTGAGCAGGATGCCCAAACGACTGAGCCACCCAGGTGCCCCCCTCGCTGTCTTCTTGACCACCTTTTTGTTCATATGGACAGTTGGGTCTAGAGAGATTTTATAAAGTGCCCCAAATTACATAATTAATGGGTAACTGGTGCTATAATGCAGATCTTGACTTCTGATGAATTCATTCATTTGTCCATTTCATCCATCCATTCATCCATAAATTTACTATTTAATAACACCTATTTATTGAATAGGTATTGGATACTACTTTAGGTACTAGAGATACAGTGACAGATAACGTTACATATCATGAGAAATTTGGACATAGTCATAAGGCATAATGCCTGCTCTCTCTCTCTCTCTTTGACTCTTTTGAATCAGATGGATTTAGAGGTAGAATAAAATAGATCATTAGGAAACTCTTGCAACAATAAAGCAACAAAAAAGTACTCTGGGAATACAGAGGAGGGAGGCTTTTCCTGGCCAGGATATGAGCCTGGCTTCACAAGAAAGGTCGCATTTGAACTGGTGTGTTGAAAAATGAGTAACACCTGGAGAGGAAATAATGAGGATGGGAGAGAACATTTCCAAGAAGGAACAATGTCAGCAAAGACATAGGGATGGAACAGAGGCAGTAGAGACATAGATCAGGCAGGGCTAAGGGGGTGGGAGGCATGCATGGTGAGGTCTGGGAGTATCTGAGGATCTCATCATAGAAGCCCCTGAACGTCACACTAGGATTCTCGTACTTTATGCTGTGGAACACAAAGGGACACTCAAGGTGGCTGAGTAGGATAATGTAAGTGAAGTTTTACCCAGAAAGCATTAAAAGGGAAAGAAGGAGAGAGAAAAATAAGCAATATATTATTCTTCCTTAGGTTTCTTGGGTGAGTGAGTGAATGAATGAATGAATTTATAAATATGTTGAATACCAACATCTCCTAAGTCACGTTCATGGTGCCAAGGGGCAAGGATGAATAAGCATCAGTTTCAACTCTCAGGGAAATTGGGAACTTGCAGTTCAGCAGGGAAAGCCACCACTGCACAGCCAAAGAGAATACAATGTGTCCCTTGCTATAACAACACAGAAGGGAATGAAAGAATAAAATATATAGACCAGAGATCATATAGAACATAGAAGTTACTTTAAACTTAGACTTGGGATCCAACTTGTACGCTTCCACTCCCCACCACTTGGGCTTGAATACTTAGCATAGCCTCCCTGAGCCTCCACATTTTTTATGTTACAGAAATGCAGTGGGATTGACTGTGCACATGAAGACGTTAACCCAGCCCCCGCAATGGCATGTGGTTTAAGCTCAATAAATGGTAACAGTCATTTTCCAGGATGCAACTGAAAGCGAGTCTGAATCAAACAGAGTATCAACAGCTCACAGTGGAGAGACCTGCCCTGGGGCTACAGAGGTGTTTTAGCTGCCCTGTGTCTTCACTGGACTCCTACTACCTTGCATGTGAAGGTGGTCTTTCCACACCGGCAGTGGTGAAGTCTGATGACTCCGGGTTCTATTTCTGCAACTGATCTTTTCTCTCACCTGATTCAAGACTTTCTGTATCTTGTTAAATATCATCTTGTGTATTCTGTTCCATCATAGGGGAATCTTTTGAATATTTTATCTAGCTGACACATTCCTTGCTTTGGGATTTCTGCAGAATTGATAAATGGGCATCCTGGGCCTTTATGCAATATTGAAAAACAAAATGTCAGATGGGACTGGACCAAGAACAGAGCCATCTGGCCCGTCATTAGGGACCCTTCTCAGGCTTTGGGTGAGGCTGTTCTACACACTGTGAATATACCCGATCATCCAGCACACATGTCTATATTTTGTCCATGAGGCTGTTACAGAAACTTTGGTAAACTAATTTCCTGAAATCAAGCTTCACAATGTCTGTCATGTCCACTGGCACTACAAACCTCACAACTCCACCCAGAAAAGGAAATGACATTTGTTTTCACAGCTTCTCAGTAAACACCAATGGTTCCTAATAATCTCTAAATTTCTTTCTAAATATTCACAATTTCTTTCATAATGCTTTCTAGAATTTTGACCAGGATCAGAATTCCTATTTCTTTCCCATGTGATGTGAAACACAGAAAATATACTAGCATTCAGTCTTTGGTTCTGGAATTCTCCATAGGTTTCCAAAGACGGAAGTTACATCTACCCAATATTTCAAACACCAGGAGGTTAATTTGGTTCATTCAACCAATTCTGAGTAATGCCACACCCAAGACACTAGTCTATATACCATCTCTCACCTGGGCTTACAAACCTGAATTCATTGCTGTCTCATTTTTCTCATCTAGATTTCTCATGCAGTTTCAATTCCCTCTTCTAGATGTGTTTAACATTTCTAGATTGAGGACCATTTTCCTTGATAAAGAAAACATAAAAGCTGAGAGTTGGAAATTCTGTCCTTTTTCATCATGTAACATTACACCATCTGCCTCAGCACTGGGCCTCTCCTTTCCTTGTTGTCAATCCAAAAGAAACAGCTTTAAAGGCACTATTTTGCTGTCTTTAGAGTTTTTTGTTGTTTATTTGTTTGTTTTGTTTTGTTTTAAATTCCAGATTCGGCCTCTTTGCTGCATTATACCCACAGGTTCAAGCCAGACTTTTACCCTGCATTACATGTCTCCTTAATCTCTCTTATGTGTCCTTCTAAAACGTGGTCCAGGAGATAACTGCCTAGCTGCACTGATTTCTACTGATGCTACTATACTCAACAGACACAAGCTGAACTGTATCGTTCCATCCAATTTTCTTTTTTTCCCATGAAATAATTTACAATAGTTGTTTGTTTGTTTTTTGGAGTCTTCCTTTCCTCAACAGTCAAAATCACTTTGAGGGATATCTTTGAACATCCCGCAATTGATCCGTTTCCTTGTTGATGGAGATCTAAGTTGCTCTTCACATTCTGCTCTGCAATATACACTCGCAAATAAACTTCTTGAATAGTATGGTATGCAAAGGATCAGTCAGTTTCACAGCCGAAAACCGAAGTGTTTTCCAAAGAGCTATGACAGCTTTTACTCCCACTAACATTGAATAAAAAGCTCCGCTGGCTTCTTATCCTTGCCACATCCTTAGTGCTATAAAGTTTTTTAAACTTTGCCAATTTAATAGTTTAAAATAGTTTCTCATTGTAGTCTTCATTTGCATTTTCCTAGTTACTGATGAGTATTCTTTCTGTGAAATATATATTTTTATTATTTGCCTATTTTATTTTTTTAATTTAAATCCAATTAATTAATACATAATGTTATTATTGGTTTCAGAGGTAGAGGTTAGTGACCCATCCGTTTTACATAATACCAGCGCTCAGTACATCATGTGCCCTCCTTAATGTCTATCACCCAGTTACTCCATCCTCTCACCCCGACCCCTCCCCAGCAACCTTCAGTTTGTTTCCTGAGATTAAGAGCCTCTTATGGTTTGTCTTCCTTTCTGGTTTCATCTTGTTTTCTCTTTTTCTCTTTTCCCCTATTATCCTCTGTTTTGTTTCTTAAATTCTATACATGAGTGAAATCATATGATAATTGTTTTTCTCTGGT